GTGTGATTTGATGATGGTGACTGAGGAAAAAAGGAATAAAAGGTTACGTGAATTGATAAATGGATAATGTGGACAGTCTGACTAGATATCCTGGGAGATGGTGGACGGACCGGGTCCGTAGGGAACCCTACCGGGAATGTGGTCTCTCATATTGGACGGGGTATGGAGACCTTCTGTGTTTTGGCGCCCATATCGGACGGGGTATAGGAACGACCCGTTTCACCCTCATACCGGACGGGGTATTGAGGTTCATGATTTTTGTGCCCATACCGGACGGGGTATGAGGACGGCTCTGAAATCAGTTATAAATGTTAAGGGTTCACGGGTAGTGGGACCCCTATGAATCCCCATGGATACTAGTATGCTGGTAAATGAGGAAAATGTGTTGTTTAATGATTGAAATGCAAAGGTGTGGTAAGTATTATGTTATACAGTTCGATGATAACGTTATTGTTTTCATATGTTGTTTTATGGATCTCACCGAGTTAAGTGGACAGTAAAAGTTTTTATGTTAATAAACGAGTTTATTATAAATTATCTTTCATTGGTCTTTTTTGTATTTTCTACCCACCTTTACCTCCGTGGCGGTGAGATAGTGCGATGTCTTTACTGGGCTGGTGTAGCTCATTCCTTATTTAACCATTTCAGATTATGAAGATATTGTTCCCGAGCCCGTTCCGCAGGAAGACGGCGAAGGGGACGCCTAAAGACTCCGTAGTTATATTTATAGTTCTTATTTTCGAGTATCTCTTTTAGTTAGTTTGTTTTTTTATATTTTGAGCACGTTTTTGGTTTTTGTGTAAATGATGTTAATCAAAATTTTTATTACGCTTCCGCATTTGACATTTTTAATAAACGTATTTCATTCTAAATTTCCGGAGCTGTTATATATTATTATTTTAATTCTTAAATTATATATCACATTATAATCAAATTTTTTACTACGATTTGATACCTAAATTATAAAATTATTTTAATTCATGATAATTTTATATAATTTGTAAAAATTTTAAAAAGAATATAAAAATTTTCTCCATATTTTATTTCGAATGAAATCTGATAATTATAACAACTAAAAAATGATTTTAACAAAAAATTCAATTTTTAATTTAGAGAATACAAATAATAATAATAACTAATGTTAAGTGAGAATAAGAGGTACTGAATAATTCTTTTTGATCTTTTTTTTTTTCAATTCCAAATTCTAAAAA